ATCATAGTTGTACCTGGATTCCCACGATGTGAAAATTGACCGAGATGTCGATTTTAGCGGCCTTTTTATACTTGAAGGCAGCTCTTTTGAATGTTTTTCGACCTTAGTCACCCTCTATGGGTGTGTACTATATGTATTTTTCTACGTACTTTTCATATCTGGCCATAAAAATGGCTTCCTGTGAATTTTAAAAGGCCTAACGGTCCATTGTTGCCAATTTTCACCAATTTTTAGGGGTTTTTTCAAGTTTACGTGTGTGAAACTTAATTTAATCTAGAAACCGTGTACAATTTCGGAAAGAACGTAAAAAAATACATAGAAATGTGATTTGTACCTTTTCCCTACGTTGCCAAATTTTCGAGAAAAATCGTCCTGAAGCGTCAAAAATGCCAAAAATTGGATTAATCATCACGTCGGAGGTTCCAGGAAGTGAATTTCAAGTTTTTTTTCACTACAAATAACGTATCGAAAATGGAAAATTGCAATGCATCTCAAGGAACATGTAATGGCGCAGATGAACGTGACAAAACGGGCCCTCAAGGTGCTTTTACTTTATCCTTCACTCCAGTTCACCTCTTTATTCCTGTAACCTCGAGATAATCCTTGGTTCTCAAGATGCTTGCTACAGGCCAAATATACCGAAGAACAGAAAATGCGTGGAGAAAGTGTCCCACGATCCACATGAATGTCATAATTCACTTCCTGGAACCTCCGACGTGATGATTAATCCAATTTTTGGCATTTTTGACGCTTCAGGACGATTTTTCTCGAAAATTTGGCAACGTAGGGAAAAGGTACAAATCACATTTCTATGTATTTTTTTACGTTCTTTCCGAAATTGTACACGGTTTCTAGATTAAATTAAGTTTCACACACGTAAACTTGAAAAAACCCCTAAAAATTGGTGAAAATTGGCAACAATGGACCGTTAGGCCTTTTAAAACTCACAGGAAGCCATTTTTATGGCCAGATATGAAAAGTACGTAGAAAAATACATATAGTACACACCCATAGAGGGTGACTAAGGTCGAAAAACATTCAAAAGAGCTGCCTTCAAGTATAAAAAGGCCGCTAAAATCGACATCTCGGTCAATTTTCACATCGTGGGAATCCAGGTACAACTATGATATTTTAGTATGTTGTATGGATGGATAAGAGCTGTTATCTGGTACAGTATGAAAAATGTACTCCACTTTCTTGAACCTTAGACGCGGCGATTTATCGATTTTTTGCCGTTTTCGACACTTTGGGACCAATTTTCTCGGAAATTTGGCAACATAGGAAAAAATTTTACTGAACATTTTTTATTCATTTTTTTACGTACTTTTCAAAAATGTACACAGTTTTTGGATTAAATTGAGTTTTGAATGTGTTAAATGGAAAAAACCCCTAAAAATGGGCCAAAAATGGCAACAATGGGCCATAAGGCCCCTTAAAATTTATCGGAGGCCTTTAAAAAGGCCAGAAACGAAAAGTACGCAAAAAAATACGTAAGAAGCATGTGCTGGAAGAGTGATAACAGTCGAAAAAGTCGACGAAAATAATTGTTTTTCGATTCCAGGATTTTGGGTTTGAGGCGCTGCTGCGCCCTTGCATGGGCTCCGTTCGGTCTAATATTTGGCTCAGAGTCTACCTAAGACTAGTACTTTGAAAATATGAAACATTTAGCAAAATCCAGGTGGGACCGGAAAAGGCCCAAAACGTTACTCCTCCTTTCCCGAACACGGGATTAGCCAGTGAGATTATGACTGCAAAGACTCCGACCGGTGCCGGCTCCTTGCCGCCGCTTTGCCGCCGGGTCCACTTTGTTATAGACAGGAGGCTAGAGGGAGAGATAGTTTGGTGGAAGGGGATAGGAACCCTCTAAAATATAAGCCATGAGCTGTCCCCAATAATGCATACCTTCCCGGCGAACCCGCGTTTGTGCGCGATGGCTTATCCGATTTCGCTCAGTGGCTTAGGTGCGTACATAGTATTTCAGAATCCACACATACTGTTCGTAAGAGTCTTTCTCAACTTTCTGACCTTTTCTCTTTCTGGCACACTCTCCCTTATCTTTGCATCCGTCTTTACATTTTCTGTACTAACACGTTAAAATGTGGCTCTGCAAGTACGTCCTTACACTTCATGGTGGACTATTAAAGGAGTATTAAAAAAATAATCACAGAAAAGTAGCCTCTTTTAAGAAATATAGAGTTTGCTGTCTTTAAATATTTATGATGAAACATTAAATACCGCAGAGCAAAGAATTGATTAAAACCAGTGAAGACCAAAAGCAATGGAGCTCATAAGAGGAATCACTAAAGAAAAACTATGCAGAAATACACAGAATAAATTCACGAAAGTATGAAAGCCAAGGCAGTAATTACAAAGCTTTATATAACATATACTGCTTTCTAGAAAGAAGAAAGTTGGGAAAGTCTCTTCTCCGTATTATTTTTGGATTCTGAGAGAGATACTATGAGCGTATCTACGCCTCTGAGTGAAATCAGACAAGCTTCCGCGCGCAACCGCGGGTCCACCAAGAAGAGAATGCAATATTGGGGACTGATGGAAGGACTTATATTTTAAGGGGCTCCTGGCCCCTTCCCCCAAACCCTCTCTCCTTCTAGGCTCCTATCTCCCTTTCCTTACCAAAGTGGACCTGGAGTGCGACCCGCAAGCATGCTCATCGATTCGAGCTCATTTGCAGAGCATTTTTTGTCGTGGTGGGGGAGGGGGGTCTGGAGTGTTTCTTTGGGGGAGGGAGGCTTCAAAACTTCGTTGTACACTCCTCCCACTCTGAAACATCAAAAACCAAATGTGGTTTGCCGAGGGAATGCCCTCTTTATGCGAATGGGATATCTGCTCCAAAATCAGCAATTTTCAGCCGATTCAGGGCTAAAGATCTACTAATCGATATTACTTTCCAGGAGCTCGACCCAGTATCAATCCCTGATCAATTGAATTCAATATCAACTCACATCCAATTTTAAGGTTCCGAAGGAAAATCTGATGTAACAGGTTTTTTCATTTAACTTTGGTTCAAATGAACCATGCCCCGGGAGTCCCCTCCAGAGCGCCAAGAGAGCTGGTCGAGGATATTGTCTTTGACAGAGACTGGCCTGTCAAGGTCGCGTGGAGTTCTGAGAAGGAAGGCTGCAATGTAGTTTCTAAGGTTTCATCACATTTTAACATTTGGAACCACACTAGAGTGTCTCTGTAACCACCTCTATGGAATGTGAATCCCACACATGATCCAATTTTATACTTCTGATCTTTATCTACGCCACATATTCTGTTCTACTTGATTTTTTAAAATTATCACAAAATTTTGCCCAACTCCTTTAGCTCTAAAATTAGAACTCCCCATATCCATTCTGAAGGGAACGCAGATAACGGAGCCTTAAGGTCAATGAAATTGAGCTTTGCTGGGATTTCCTGGAGATTGTTCCTGTCATTCAGTCTATGTACAGGGTTATCCAAATGTCACCTACCACCCCTGTAACTTTTTTCCTTAAAGAGATAAAAGTTTGAAACTTTGGGGATGTTCCTAGGTCTAAAGTAGCTACTTTTTGTTCCGCCCAAAATATTTTTTTTTGGGGGGGAGGCGCCCCTAAGGGGGCGAAGCCCAATATTTTTTCAAATGGTAACCCCCCCTTCCTTTGTGATGCCTCATTGAAAAGATAATGTAAAGAAAGAAAAAAATTGGGCGTAAACCGCAGGTCAAAATGTTGATTTTTCACAAACTAGTGGCCGGTCAAAGTTAAAACCCGTAGTAACGTCGTAGCGAACCCATCAGTAAACGCTCGTGCTACCAAGTTCCCGCTATCTATCCACCGCCGTGTTGAACTTCTTCATAATTTGAAGAATACGACATAAACAGACTTACCATATTTCTGCCAGTCTTAACTTTGCCCGGCCACTAGTTTGTGAAAAATCAACATTTTGACCTGCGGTTTGTGCCAAATTTTTTCTTTATTTATATTATCTTTCAAATGAGGCATCACAAAGGAAAGGGGGGTTGCCATTTGAAAAAATGTTGGGCCTCGCCCCCCCCAAAAAAAATTTTGGGCGGAACTAATAATTGCTACTTTAGACCTAGGAACATCTCCAAAGTTTCAAACTTCTATCTCTATTAGGAAAAAAAGTTACAGGGATGGTAGGTGACTTTTGGATAACCCTGTAGATTGCCAAGTGTGTAACACATATGAGCTGCTAGTGGGAACTATAAAATTACGTGTTGTTTTTATATAAAAAAGTAGTCTTGATTGGCAGTTCACATGTCGAGAAGCTGATTTGGAGTTTTTCGCTTTATACCCCATAAGTCTCCCCTTTTTAAGACTAGTTCGGGTCCATTGATAGTATATTTTAAAGCGGTAGTGCATTTGATATGCAAAAGAGCTTGATTCAAACACTCCATTTTCTGCTCCTCCCCTGCCCCTTTGAATTACTTGAAATTTAAGAGTAAGAGTATGAGTACCAAGCAAACTCGATTTAAGATATCTTTTTCTGTAACTGCATACCTCATAACTATGTGGGCTGATTTTTGATATTGATAGACAAAGCGATGGACAAAAAAGGCACCAGGAAATTGGAGCGATCCTATTGGTTGAAATGACTGGTTGTCCTAGACTACAGGAGAAAATGATTGACTAACCATAGGGTTTCTCCAGGGTTGCCGTTAATCAGTCCATTTCTTGCCTCATTTGTCCATATTGCAACCATTAGCTTTCACCAGTAGGATGCCTCCATTTTCTCCTTGTCCTCATTATCCATCACTTTGTCTCTCAACTTTACTGATCAGCCTGCTGCTGCAGTACGGACTCTAACATGTATTACTTTTTGGCTCAGTACACTTATTTTATGATCAAAATCCATACATCTGGGGCTGCTTGGCTTCGATGATTCCTGCTACCTTTTTTATTGCGTTTCCTAACCTAACCTAACCTAACGTTCGTGTTAATTTTATTGATTTTTTGTGAAAAATAATTTCAACAATTCTTCATTGTCGCTCCTAGCTCTGCAAGCTAAATTGAATGAAGAAAAAAGTGCAAGGCAAAAGTCTGATCTTACGTGTCAGGAGAAGGAACGTCAAATGTCAATGTTATCAGTTGACTATCGCCAAATTCAACAACGATTGCAAAAACTAGAGGGAGAGCATCGTCAAGAAGTAGATAAGGTTTGTACCTTTATCCTGTTCTTTTGTTGTCGTGTATTTTCCTTGTTTTCTTTCCTTCTATGATTTGTTTTGCATTTTATTCATTTACTTTCTATTCAGTTATTTATTAGTTTAGCCCTTTTTTTCTTCCAGAAAGCCACAGTGATCTGTGGGCAAAGGGTAGATAAGAGTTTTAGGTATACCTGGCATACTTAATGGTTGTAAAATTTGGATCTCTCAGGGTTTCCAGTGGTCTGGAAGACCTCTGTCTTAATCGACCTGTTCTAAATCTTGGAGGTCAGAAAAATAAATATGTGTGAAAATTTCAATTCGAAATCGGATTATGGTTGTTTCTGAAATTTTCTTACAATTAGAACAGAAAAAGAAGAAGATTACAAATCGATGCTTGAGTCTTTTTGAAAATGAATGGAAATATTTAAATATTTTTTCCTATCTATAGTCAAATTCATATTGTTTCAATGTGTAATGTGCATAGCAGTTTTCATTTACACTTGCCTTAAATAAAATACGATAACTTACTTACTCATGATAACATTCTTAGCAATTGCTTACAAGTGGAAAAAATCGCTAAAAACTCAAATACAGAGACATGTTTGTCTTGAAAGAACAAATAGTTGCCTCCTCATTCTTAAAAATTCGGGATAACTGCATGATGGACTGAAAACGAATTAAATCTTGATAAGCGAGTACTATATTACGCTCTAGTGCTTGAGTCTTTTTGAGAATGACCTGACTTTGCAGATGTTTTTAGGGCTTTAAAATCGGTTTTCAGCTTGTCTCTTTGGAACAAGATATATTTATACCTGAGCTTTACGGAAGCACCGAAAACTTAATTTGTTATTTTTTGGTGCCCAAGTCCTTTTTGAGAAAGACCGTGTCGATCGTTAGAATATCATCTTATCCGATTTTCACCATACATAGGTTAGGAGGCTAGATGTAACATAGAGAGGAAAAGTGGTATGAGGGTGCTTTTTTTTAACTTGTCATTTAGATAGCTTCGAAATGCAAATGCAGGTTCTACCCACCTTTGACCACTGGATGTGCTTGAAAAAGAGTGAAACCGTTCGCGGTTTGTTGGTGGCACCTTGGCGAAGCATTTCTAATGCATGTTGCATCTATTGAAGCTGAATGAATACTCTTTCCCTCAGCTTTCTTGTGAAATGCTCTGAGTTTTTTCTTCTAGTTTTTAGAATTTTATATCTTAGATTTTGCCCCAGAATTGTACAGACCCAGCCTTGTTCTGTCATCTTGATACTCAACAGTACTCAGGTCACGATTCTAATGGATTTTTTTTCTATGCTCTCCTATCATTACTTTTTTTAGAGCAAAACATTACAGGCTCAAGTAGAACAAGAGCAGATGAAAAAATCCAGTCTGCAGTCCGAGTTAGGCTTTCAAACATCAGAAGTAGCGCACTTGAAAGCAAGAGAGGCTCAACTCACTGTAGAAGTGATGGGCTTGAGGGAAAGCAAGCGTATCATCGATGAAGAACTTCACAAACTCAAAACCCAGCATTCAGTGGACAACCTTCAAATGAAAGAACTTCAAGACCAATTTGAAGCAGAGAACTTTTTCTCGGTAAATTATTTCTCTTCAATTTCCGTAACAGATGTTCCATGGGACAAGCCCTCCACTAAAGTGAATTGTTGATTTTATCCTGGCACTGTCAAATTCTTTTTATTACCTCGGAAAATGTTACCATTCATTATAAGCGTTTTGATGAACAAACAATGTTTTAAAGACAAACTGAAGACAGTCTCATCAGTTTGGGAACAAAATTATAAACTTAACGCTGATCACTTAAGTACAAAACACCCTAGTTGGACGTTCGCTTTACTTTCTTTGTAATCTCATAGGATTCCCAGATAGAATCTGGACTGCCACTGCAATGGATCTCTTGCGAACTTTTGCCAGAGCAAAAATAAGACGTGTCTTTTCTGAAAAATGGGTCAAACATTACCATGAGCGCATTGTGCGCATGAGCGTTAAGTCTGAAATTCACTCCCAACTTAGAAATCTTGGCAAGATTTGAGTGCATTTTTGAGCCTTCCGCTTCAAAAAGGATACTACAGCAAATATATAATTGAATACAGTGGAGTCACCCTCTCCAAGTGATTTTCGGACTACAACTTATCATAATCACAATGATGTCAGCTGGCTGTTACTTTTTGTCATAATATATGATAAAAATCATTATCAGTTACTTAGTGAAGGTCAAAAAAGTATCGAAATTTATGGTACTAAAAGATTTCGAATAGTTTAGTTCGTTCCTCTTACCAAACTTCATTTGTTTCCTTCACATTTGCGCGGTTGCGACGACTGTGCTGTTGCCCAACCTACATCATGGCGGTGGTCATTAGATAACGTGCAGAGTTGTCAAGCCAAGGTATTTTCTCTGTTTTAAAGTATGTCTTTGCCTTGTATCCCCTTAGAAGCAGGAAGCTCAAAAATGCGCACATTCTTGACACATTCTTGAGCAGATTGCTAAGTAGGGAGTAAATTTCAGACTTTTCTGATCAGCCTATCAAGATTTTTAAGCCACTTTCTATAAGAAACGAATCATATCTTTGCTCCAGCAAAAGTTCGGAATCTTCCCATTCAAAAGCCAAGTAACCTCTTGACTTGATCCTAATTGAAAGGAGACGTTATCAGAAATCTATTGAGACTTGAATCAGCTTACTTGAACAAAAATTGGGCAAGTTTTGGCAGTTCAAATGAGAGATGCATGGTTTTAGCCAGTATAAAACTGCTCATGGTTTTTTACAACAATTTATTCTCTCTGGAACGTTTTCTTAGCCGTTTTTAGGTCTCTAACTAAGGGCCCCAATGTATCAATACTTCATGTTCACACATACTGTCCAAATCATGAATTTTCCTTGAATGGATTTTCAGTTTTTTCAGGTCTCTCTGTATCTAGTTTGTTTATTTCAGAAATTGTACAGATCTCATGCTCAGGAACAGTTTTTTTTATGTCTTTCTGTTTTTACTTTGTTTCTCCTAGAAATTGTACAAGACTCAAGCTCAAGAACTGAGAGAAGAATTAGATGAGAAAAATAAAGCTATTGCTGAGTTAGAAGAAGAAAGAAGCTCCATCACCCACCAGCTGCAGATAGCATTGGCAAGAGCAGACAGCGAAGCTCTGGCCCGATCTATCGCCGAAGAAACAGTAGCAGATCTTGAGAAAGAAAAAACTATTAAAGAATTGGAACTCAAGGATCTACTAGCTAAACACAGAGTTGATATCTCGTCCAAAGATAACTGTCTCTCATCGATCAAAGAAAAAGAACTAGAATTGAAGAGAACTGTTGAGCAACTCATGAAAGAAAAAGAAGAGTTAAGTATTCAAATTAACAAGATGCATGAAGATTCACAGCTCATCAAAGGTGATGAATTAGAAAAGTTGCACAAGCAGCTGAAAACAGAGCAACTATTGAAGGCACAGGCTGTCAACAAACTGGCTGAAATTATGAACCGTAAGGGAATGAGCACAACAAGTAATAAGATCAAAGTTTCGACTTCAGTTCTGAAAAAGAAAGAAAAAGAGTGTCGCAAGCTCCAACAAGAACTTACACAAGAGCGAGAAAAATACAATCAGATGGTTGACAAGTTGACGAAGGACTTACAAGAACTGCAGGTTCAGTTCGCAGAAGAAAATTCAAGTAAGTTAAGACTTCAGATGGAATTAGACTCCAAAGAGTCTGAAATAGAGCAACTTCAGGGAAGATTAGCTACACTAGGTGGTGAGACAGCTTCACTCAGCAGCGCTGATAATGAAAATGATGAAGTGTACATGCAAGATAGTCGACTGGAAGGCTGGTTGTCAGTACCCAACAAACAGAACATTAAAAGGCACGGCTGGAAGAAGCAGTATGTTGTTGTCTCCTCCAAAAAGATCATTTTTTATAATTCTGAAAATGATAAACAAAACACTGATCCAGTCCTCATTCTTGATCTCAGCAAAGTTTTTCATGTGCGCTCTGTCACGCAAGGTGATGTCATCCGTGCAGATGCGAAAGACATTCCTCGTATATTTCAGGTAAGACTTTCTGTGACAAGCCATTGTTTCACACCCCTACTTGCATCAAATGTTTTATAATGAATCAGTGAAGTCCATTTTTAAAATGTATCATTTGAAAGTATGAGGTGAAGTTACCTGGTGCTTGATATATTATGATTATTGAACCTGCGAGAAAAGTATTCTTACTAGTGCAAGTTAGGGTGGGGCATGTAGGGCCATTTGCAACTCAAGTTACGAATATTGCCAATATGTAAAAAATGACAAGGAATGAGATTCACGACATACACCAACTTTTATATACACCTATGCATATGAGCGTTATGCCCTGTCAGCGAAGTGGCCAGTCCATGAAATCCGTGGATGGGCAGCCAGTTGGCGAACTGGCCGGGCTTAGACACTCTCATTCCGCCATCGGGCCGACCGCGATTTTCCGGTGGCTAATTTGAAAATAATCTCAGTTTCAACCAATTTGAACGAACATTTTAATCTTTAATCTTTTTCTCCAATTTCTTGATTCTGACACCTCTCAAATATTGAGTAGTCTGACTGATCTCCTTCCACAATTTCTCGATCTTTTTTTCGAGTCTCAGTTGCTAGGCAGGTTTCTTCTGTCTTTTTGAACATCGCTCACTGCAACCTTAATTTCTGGCCATTTAAAACTGTGACAGTGCAGGCACAAGCGTAGATGACCAAGTGGATTTCTTCGAGACCCGCCTCCCCTGAGATGAGTTCACTGATGATTTTATTATGAATAATATTTATGCGATCTTTACACATCTTATTCATCCAAAGTTTTGGAACTGCTGGCATTAGATTTGGATTACTCCCTCTTCATTTTCCTCTGAAGAATCCAATCTTTTCAAGAGTTTCCAGTTCCATCCCGTCTTCAAAACGTGGTACTCTTTCCGCTGAATCAACAAACCTTTGAACTGGATATGCTGTAGGGGAGACCACCCCATCTCCAGCATGAATAGAGCAATCATCAACTGGTCATCTGTACTTGCACGTTCCATATAATTGTGACATCTTAAGACTCCGCGACAGATTCTGGCTTGTGTTCAAACCATTTTTCGACTAATTTGATGTTGTAGTGTCTGCATAAATTCCAGTGTAGATGGTTTGCCACGGCATCATGTCGCTCAATCTATTCTTTCTTAAAATCTCTCGAAAAAAAGCGCATCGCCCAGGGAAATTCCGGACCCTGATATCTTTCTTTGTTCGAGAGACAACGAGGCTCACAGGCTTTGACTTCCACCCCCCCCCCCCCTCGCCCCCCCAAAAATTTTTTTGGGGGTCTGAAAATTTAGGGACTGAAGCGCTCAAGTATGAGTAATCAATAGACAAAGTTTGAAGAAATTCCAGGGGGGGGGGGGGAGGGGCGGGTATTCATCATTCATTTTTTAAACAACTGTATTAAAAAATGTTGACAGAACTTATCTCGAAAGTGTGTGAATATATTTAAACTCAACCCTAAAATGCATAGAGATGTCTAAATGCATCAAACAATTGTGTGTTAGTGTCCAGATGAGGTTAGATCCCATTGATGATCCTGCGAGGTTGCCAGTTGGCAATGGAATTTTAAACTCTGTACGGTTTCATACTTAGTACACTGTCTAATATATATTACGAACACAGGCTGATTATTCAAATGATGTGTTTTTCACTAAACTGTGACGGAATGGAGCAATGCCATTGGTCAGCTTTGTCAAAATAAGGACCAGGAATCAACTAGTGAGCCTGTTAATAAGCAAAATAATCGACTAGGTGTCAGCTTACAACCTGCAAAGAGGTACCTTTAGCCAGCAGATAATTTGGCCTGGCAAGGGGCCTTTGAACAATTTCCCAGTCGTTGGTTCGACACAGGCTACTAATGACCTAGCTCTATTCCGTCCTGGTCTAGTGACATGCACATCATTTCAATCATCAGCCTGCGTTCTTGATAAGTATCTGACAATCGAGGTGGAACAAAACCTAAGAGAAATCAAATTACATTAGCAACTGGCAACATCGCCAGGTCATCGATGGATCCTAACCTCCTCTGGACACAGTTGCAGAATTTGTCCTCACATATTTTCATTTTCTCTACATAATTTAAAGTCGATTTCATTTTCACATTTTCAAGATAAATTCTGTCAAAATGTTTGTTGCACAGTTTTTCTCTTATGCTGCGACAGTCACTCAAATTCATTTTTAATTACTTTACATATGTTGTGTATTTCATATATTATGCCATTTTTTATACGATGGCAACATTCGAAACTTTAGTTACAAATGGCCCCGCATAGTGAGGGTTTGATTCACTTACCCGCGGATCTAGCAAGTTACTTAATGTAAGCAAAATAGTGGCGGAACCCAGTGGAAGAATACTCGGAGGCTTAATAATGTATCAATGATCAGCAAAAAAATTAAGGTGAAGTCACGAAACTTCAATGCCGCGGCTGTCATCTTACTTATGTGACACAATTTACCAGATGAATGATACTGCAGATTGATAATGTTTTGAAGGAAAACCCCTTAATCCTTCTTTTGCTGGAAGGCACTCTCCTGGAACTCCTGTTAAAGCAGCCTGATTGAAGGGAGAGGCAGGAAAGGAGGAAGGAAAGTCATCATTCCTGTGAAATTTTTTAACAGCAGTTTGCTCTTTATGATGTTTACAATAATTTTACAATTGTTTTAGAAAAACATGTAAATACTGCAAAATGAAAAGCAAGTCTCATTCTGCAGGGAAAGAAGTTAGCACAAATTAAATATACAGGTCAATGAAGATTATTAGTTTGCGAGAAGAACGTATTAGCTGCCGTTTCCGCTCCTCATGGCATAAACAGAGACAGCTCCAAGATAAGAGGGTTCCCTGAGGTATAGCCGCAACTCAACCGTAGGAAATCGTAATTCTTGCAACAACCATGAAAATCTCATGTATGTCAGTGGACTTGCTGTGTCTCCACCAAACAGTCCCCAAAGACAATGCAAGACTATGTGGAAAACTTAATTCATTGATAGCATCTTGGTTTAAAGCATTACATAATTTTGAGAAGGAAACCCTCCGTATCATTGAGTAGTTTCATTTTTAAACAAGCTCACTCGTGTATTAACTGTCTTTATATAGCTACTGTATGCTGGAGAAGGTGAAGCACGAAAACCAAACGAAGCATTAGATCAAAGTACTTTTAGAAGTGATGAAAAACCTGGCACAGTTATGTTCAAGGGTCATGAATTCCTTCAAATTTCTTATCATATTCCAACAAATTGTGAGGTTTGCTCAAAACCATGTTGGCATATGCTGAGACCTCCTCCTGCTATGGAATGTAGACGTAAGCATATTTTATTTTATCCTCTTCCTTCCTCCTACTGATAATTTCTAGTGTTTTCTTGACTCCTTTTTAGGTTGCAAAGGAGGAGATTCGGGGATAGAATATTCCCCTCGGAAAAATGATATTTTGTAAAAACAAGTGTTTGGCATTTTTTAGAAAGTGCCAAGGGTGACTTGTAGCAAAATTATGTCATCTAGATGAACGTTAATAAAGATATAATAAAGAATAAAGAAATAAATAAAGAAGTAGAAAGGATGAAGAATAAAGAATAAAGTAGAATAAAGTCGGCCATTAGTGAAACATACCCAGTTGAGACTATTTTGGGAGGGATTTTTAAAAAGTTTTAGTCATGAGGCAGAAACGAATCTGCAGTCAGAAATTTTGACGAGTTTCTTGGGTGTGATGCACAGTAAAAGGGATGGATATTATTGGGCATGAAAAGTGAGTCAACGGTGCAAATATCCGAATGAATAAGTAGAAGCTCGGTAGTAGAAATCATGGTTGAAGAATCCTGCTGACTGATATTGAGATCAATACTCAAAGTGGCCGACAGGAAGTTGGAGCTATCCTATTGGTTGAAACCAGCACCTGTTATTGACTAATGGGGAAAATGACTGACTAACTACAGGGTCTCTTGTGAGTTGCTACTAGTTACTCTATTCATTACCCTCTTAGTCTATCACTTTGTCGATAGATTTCAAAAATCAGGATCCCTCTGCTTCCCCTTGTCTCCTTAGTCTATCGCTTTGTCTATCACTATCAACAATCAGCCATCTGAATTCCAAAATGCGTAGGTTTCTAGAATCCAAGATATTTAGTGCGCTTATTTGTAGGTTTTTCACTAAATCTGCTTTCAAGTCGTTTCATTTTTACTCAGCGAACCGAGGTTAGGAGTTTTAAGATACTTTGTTAATCTTTAAAAGTTCAGTTTTTAGAATTTTATATTTTATTTCTCATCATCTAGAAGTTATGTGAAATCAATCATATAATTAAAAAGAACCCCACACGATCCTTATGAGGATCGTGTGGGGTTCTTCCCTCCCCCCCCCCTCGGTCAAATCTGATGAAACTTGGATATGTTGCTCAGCTAGTCATTCTGATCAAAAGCTCTCATGACCCGAAAGAGATCCCATGTGCAAATTTCGAGGTATTTGCCGTTTTATATGTGTGAATGGAAGTCCTGCCGGCCAGACCATTGTGGGGTGCTTCTCGTGCCCTTCCCTTCCAGTCCACCCTGGCCCCTCTCCACTTCCCGAAACTCTAACTCTGACTCTCACGAGACTTTGCTCACCATCACCGGGCGGCGTCGCACATTGGTTCCAGTGCCCGATCTAGGTGGCATTAATTAGAACATCTCTGATGATGACATGTAATATATGTTGCTTGGGGTTTTTTGGGTCGCTGATTACGAATTTGAAGTCAATTTGACTATTTCATACAGCATAAGGTGGTAAACTTGGATTTAGCCTGTAAATTCATTCTTAATACCGCATTAATAATATTTTGATATGGCTGAATTCCTGGACTGCACGGAAAGAAATAAAATGTTGATTTAGCATTTACATTGTTAAAAAAATGTCCGTCAAGTTTCAAATGCTGATTTTACAGTACAAAGATGCTAACTCAACATTTGAATTTCTTCATTGTACCGTGGGCGCTGTTAAGTTGGCCTTTTTTAAAAGTAAAATCAGCATTTGAAACTTGTCGGACATTTTTTTAACAATGTAAATGCTAAATCAACATTTTATTCCTTTCCGTGTGATATATTTTACAACTTTTTTGAGTCATCATCAAGAACTATCGATGAACTTACGAGGATTTATTTTCTAATTATACATTCCCCCCCCCCCCTTTTTTTTATTTTCGACTTTTTCTATTTTTAAGGGTAAAATGGCGGCAAAAGCCAATGTGTGACCACCAAAATCCACCGCCATCTGGTCAAATTAAGATAAAATTTTACGTATGTTAGTCCTTGACATGTAAATGGGTTCCCTCCAAAGTTTCAAACTCTCCCTGAAAGAATTGCACCCCCTTATCCGGTGTTGCCAAGTTACGTACCCGATAATGACGCGACTGACGGGGCAATGCAGATTTTGAGTTGCGATTATCACCAAAACTTATGGAAACCCTTACCTTTATACACTGTGAGGATAATCTTAAATCTGATTCGATAGAAGCATGCACGGTTGCCATATTTTTGTTTTTTGAAATTGCAAAGTTTGGCCAGAAAATGTCAATTTTTTTATTTGATTAAAACCAGTCAATGCTTATTTTTCAGCGGCATTATCATAATACGGAGCATCATTATATAAGTAATAACTGTGCGAGCGTTTTTTTGAGGTTCCCAGAATTTGCCTCGGAATCAAAAAGTAAAATTTAAACAATTTTTCACTTAAATTTTGCGAAGAGAAGAAAAGAGGACTCCTGTCTTGCTTGCCCGTAAAAAGAGTACATCGAATGTGCGTCGCATGCCGTCTTATCACACGACTTGGTGATGATAGGCACAACCTCGTGAGTCGTGAGCGTCGGAGTTAGAGCCTCTGATATTGGCAGCGGGGAAGCGGAGAGGGGCCGAATTGGACTGGAAGGGAAGGGCACGAGTATCTCCACATAAAGGTTTGGCCAGTGGAACCTCCGTTCACGCATATAAAACGGCAAATATCTCGAAAACCGCACGAAGGATCTCTTTCAGGTCATGAGAGCTTTTAATCAGAATGACTAGCTGAGCAACATACCCAGGTTTCATTAGATGTGACATGAGGGGATTCCCCAAGAGGATCGTGCCGGGTTCTCTAAATTCTTAATCAATTAACATCATAAAAATGTATATCATTTCAATGATTATAATTACAATCAGCCCCTCATATTGATCTGCGGTTGCAGTTCTACGAAAAGAGATGAACTGGGAAGTACAACTCATCAGTAAGAACAATGACTTAGACTTATGAAATTTTCGATTTTTCTTCCATGATCGGTATGTCAGTTCGGAAATGTTGTACAATCGCCAGTAAAAATACAAAAGGCATGCCTTGCCACCAGTTCTTTAATGGGAACCACTCACTCAAAATTTTTGACTCGTTGTGTTCAGAAGGCCTTACGGTTTGTTTCATTACTTAGCACAATTGGATCTTACTTAGCAAAAAAGAACTTGCGCGAGTAGGGGCTATCCATGAATTATGTAGGGCACTTTTTCCCATTTTTAGAGCCCCTTTCCCCTCTCGCAAGGCACTGTAAGACATCTTTAACCCCCCCTCTAAAGATTACATAAGGCTCGACTAACCCCCCCCTTTTTTTTCACTTATCGCAGATCTAGGCATTACGTTTTTATTTAGCAAAACAATGAATTTTTAGGTCAGCATTTTCATTAGTGAAACTAAACTTTTGAAGTAAGTTCGTAGGAAATAGTAATGATACAATTAGTTTAATTAACAAAAATATGTGGAGCAAAATTGAAGATTTTTTCTTCTTTGTAGTTAAGAGTATAAAGTGGACGTAGGGATGAAGTCACTAGTCATCATTCCACGGAGTGGAGAAGTGTTAATCAAGAGAAATGACTGGAGCATGGTCTGATCGGTGAGCAATCGGTGATGTGCTGATTTCCTCTATTAAGCGTAATGAGTATAAAGTTGATATAAGGATGAAGTCATTTGTCATCATTCCACGGAGTGGAGAAGTATCAATCAAGATAAATGACTGGAGTATAGTCTGATCGGTCATTAATCGGTGATGTGCAGATTTCCTCTATTAAGCACTGAGCGGAAAGGCACCGCAGGTGCTTCTTGTTTTCGTTTTGCCACTAGAATCCTTCTATTGTAGTGTGCTCAAGCGATTGAATGGCTCCCCAACTCACCAAAACATGACCGACGAGAATCTCAGAATTTTCTTTTTACTATCTAATAATACCCCCTTTAACGTTATTAAAAATAAATTAGTGGATAAAATAAATAACATTCTGGAAATTTTCTATGCGAGGAAGTTTATTGTTATTTTATCATTAAATCTGAAAGTCCAGGTATTAAGTTGTTTTCATACGAACTTTTTTCCACCGGTGATAATTTTTTCGGAACCTGTTAAAATTCGCCTTCATATGAAACAGCTGTTGCGTTACCTTTACCGTAGAAATGCAGCTTTAGAGCCGTGTCTTTTTATTTCAATCCTGTCCTTGTGCTTTGTGTAACTGCTGAGTGCTTCTCTTATACCTACGTATGAGAGCTTTTCCTCTTATTTCATCTTGAATTTTATTATCAACCTGACGAAAAATGGATTTTTGCATTTTCTTTAAGTATAGGCTGGAAAGCTCAGCCCTATCCCCCCTTCCCCCACCCAAAGCACCCCAAGGCTATTAAAGACCCCCCTCCCCCTTGTGGCGAGGAAAAGTGAGAACTCGTACGATCCTGATTGTCAGAAAGCAAGCCTTCCGGAAAGGATCGAGCTTCAGCAGATCAAGCCACAAATTTAGGGTGCCAGATGCTCGTCCGGACGCCTGGGTTCGGGCGCCAACACACTTGAAGTGAAAAATTACCGTCACGCCCCTAAGGGCCTCACTTAATTTGTAGACGGCCCCTTACTGTATTGTTAAAATGTTGCTTCTTCATAATTATATAAAAAATCTTTCAGAGTAGCAAATAGTTTATGCTTCCCAACTAAAAATTCTTAATTTTTAAGGAAAATAACTGTGCAAATTTTAAAACTGTACATATATTAATCATTTTTAAAGAAAAGAAGTTGCACGTTTTTGAAAACACTGAAATTGTGTCGGCTCTTTTTTGCTAAATGCGATCCAATTCTTTACTTGCCTGAATGGATGAGAGGGAGAAGAGAACAAACTAACGGACCATTAGAGAAGGTACTAATTTTACCAACATGATATATGTAGTCTCATCAAAATTTTATGTAGAGCGCGAATTCCCCCTCTACATTTCATATCCTCCCTTTCTTTGAAACGTTTATGTATCTGTATTGATCTCTCTTTTGTTAGATTTATATTATCCAATGATTTTCCATATTTTCCTTAGGTTGCCGCATCAAAGTGCATAAAGATCATCTTGATAAGAAAGAAGAAGCAGCCATTGCACCCTGTAAATTACACTGTGATCCTAACTCTGCCAAAGAACTTCTCATCCTAGCTTCAAATACTGATGACCAAAAACTTTGGGTACAGAGGTTAAGCAAGAAAATTCAGAAGTGTGGTTATAAAGCGAACAATTTTGATGGTGCCAAAGTATCGCCTAGGTGAGTATACAATACAATGTGATTACTTTATTTGGTTTTAAATATTGGTTTTGAAATTGGTAGTGGTGAATACGAATTGGAGGCATTCGGCTGCCTAGCAAATTGCTAAGAAAGAAGTAGCCATTCCTCTGAAAAAAATTACTGTTATCATATTGCTGTCAAGAATCCCTTTATTTTTGGCTAAATAAGGAAGCCCAAACATACTGATTGTTCACAGATTTGTTTTACATTCATGTAAGGTGAGTAAATTCATGCTGTTAATGTTGACCAACTAGCCAAGACGATTCTGACTTTAGAGACTTCTATTTTTGTTTCAATTTTTAAAATCAACTTCTATGAATTTTATTTTGTTTTTAAATTTATGTTAGTTCCTTTTAGTATATTTTCATTTTTCCTCATCTTTTATCTTTTACTTTGTTTATTGATTATTTATGAAATTATTAAAAAGTGTAGAGGTCCATTACGAATAAAAATCTAAAGATCTAAGAATCTTAAGATCTAAAGAAGACTTTAGACTTTCGACTTTAGACTGGTAAGAGGGATTCCTAAAGACATGTTTTAACCTATCATTTTGAGTGGAAAGAGCTTTCTATAACCTCTTGAAGTTATCTGGGGAACCTCTACCGCCCCCGCCCCCTCTCCCTTCCTGCAAGATGGCAAGTCAGCTCGTTCATTCTTCCCCACTTTCGTTTTCAGTAGCGGAATTTTATCAAGGAGAATTCAACTCATTTCATGTATATAATAGTAACATAAACGTACATTAATAATACGATGGCCATTTTAAGTGTGGTGCTCATAACGAGCTATATAGGCAAAATCCGCGGAAAGTTGTAAATCCAAACGTCAGTAAAAATAAATTTATGGAATAAAAGTGAATCAAATTTAATGAATAAGCCAATCTCCTTTGAGCCGAACTGACTTATGGAAACCAACTGCGTCTCATAATTTGGATGGATAAAAGTCGTTTGTATTTCCTCAATTATTGTTCAAGCCATAGCAATAACTTCAATCCTTCTTTTGATTACTTTTCTCTCTCAGGGAATCGACTAGGACAACTCTCAAACCATACTCATCAGCACAGCAAAGATCAGCAACACTTCCTGCCAAGTGAGATTCCAGTTTTGAAAGAATTCGGTCTCGTAAAAAGGGACTTTGCAAGTAGGCAAATCTTACATGAGCCTCTAGATTTCAAACATTGAATGTTATTGGAAGGTTTTTGCATATTTCTGAGAGGATTTATCTTTTATACTTAACTACGAAAGTTCCTGGACTTTTGCTGGGGTATTTTATAACATATAAAGACTGCTCTTTTTCACAATGATATGAATGAAAATGATTGATTTATCTCTAAATTTTAAGATCACCTCTCATAGTAAAAGGTGCTCAATATATTATTGTGCCAGTCTCATTGCTACTCTCATTAACTCTGCGTTAGTGTTGTACGTTTTAAAAAAAAATTGTGTACATATTCCTGTGTATTCAGTTTTCTTATATTTTTCTACGGAACTTTTTATCAGCGCTGTAATTTTAAATGTAGAATTAATTTTAATTTACAGCGTGCAAGCCCGTTTATCTAAACGTAATTTAAGATTAATTTCAAAGCTTGATTACCATTTTGTGATGAAGTTACCCAATTATTTAGCTTGACGTCAAAGAATTTCTGTTTTAATGTAGCAGTGTATCCTGTTCATGTACTAAGATAGTATAATTGTGGAACTAATTTTATTTATTAATTTTTTTTTTTAAAAAAAAATATGAATCTCTTTTTGTAATTTCAAGTAACATGCAGCTGAACTTGCATAAGCAACTTACTTTTAACGGATTGTGAAACTTCAAGGCCAGCAACCCAAAACAATGTCACCAGTATCTGTCTTTCTATCTGAAATTGATAGAAACATCTGCTTGTCCAAGAAAATGTAGAGCAATTTGTCAAACTTTAACATTTAAGTAATACCAAGCCTTTTGGCTCAGCTGCCCATAGCTACAAGTGGGAACATTTTCCCTAAGTAAACTTCCTCAGTGGGCACTCGCCCAATGCTTGCTATTGATTTTCTTGTCTAGCATGGTCATTCGTTTGATAGCAGTTACTGAATAGGTTTTTAGTCTACTACTGTTTAGTTTTTGTCTCTTTGCCTTCAGACAGAGCTTCTGTTCAGTAGTATGTCATGGCATTGCTAGTTGAACCCTATTCCACCCTTGATGATTTCCTTCAGAGAGACTTCTTAGTATTATAATGTCTTTTAATAATATCTATGCTTTTGGATTAACATTGACAGCATATTTTGTCAGTGGAAAAAAAATTAATGTCAGCATATTAGCATAATAAATTAATGTCAGCGTAGGATATTCTAACCCCAAAAAAATATTTGGATAACTTCAAGTTACCTCGATCTCCCGGGGCCAAAACTCTCTGTTTGAGTACTAGGAATAATGAAAACTCTGTACGTAAGAATATCTCTCAAATAACCTTGAAATATTTTTAGGCTGCCCTCGTGCTAAAATTGACAATACCTGTTTCTAAGTATCTTAAAAAAATAAATAAAAAAAAAATTGCTAAAAATATTGTTGCCGACAGTTGATGTCACACATTTTCAGTATATTTTTTTAAAATTTTATACGAAAGAATTTTTAAGATATTGTAGTGCATATTATTGGAAAGCTTGTAAACATGTTTGTAAAATATTTTTGTAATTATATTGGTAAAAACATTGAAAATAATTTTAAAAATTCTTTTGTATTTATACTGTAATCAAGAACATCCTGGCAATATTGAAAATATTTTTTGAAGAAAATATTGCTACTGTATAGGGTCTCTGCCATGCATTACTGCAAATGTAATATAAATTATATGGACCAGTATCGAACCGAAAAACCTCTTCAAAATGACAATTTCATCGGAATATTCCTGGAAAAGGAATTTTTCATTTCGGGTCTGTCTTATAATACAGGGTGTCCCAAAAGTCCGTACCCCCCTGGTAACTTTTGAACGGTTAGAGATAAAAAACCGAAACTTTGGGAATGTTTCTATCTCAAAGGGGACCATCTGCTAGGGTGTTTAAAATTGTCCCTCCCTCAGAGGGCGCGGGGCCTCCAACTTTTTTTTTCAAATTGTAACCCCCACCATGTGATACATCATTTGAAAGACCATAAAAAACTGAGAATTTTGGCGCCAACTGCAGATTGATATCTTAATTTTTGACTCAGTTATGATAGGTCAAGTTCAAATTTGACCTATTTTCCAAAAATCATAACTCCGGTTCAAATTGTAGCAGAGAAAAAAATAAGACTGGAAAATTTACCAAATTGTAAGCACTTTTAAGTAAAAATCACAGAACTCACTTAAATTTAATTTTAAGGGGGGATTCGGACCCCCAAATACGTCAGTTTAAAGGTCATACGATTTTCCCGCGAAATGAGCTAATTTTCCTTTACCTTGCCTCAACATTATCTCGGTAAGTTCAAAATTAGTTCAACATTGCGTATTCAAGTCCCCAAATTTTTGGCAAAGTTCAAAAACGAAATGAAAGGTGATGAAATTTAACCGGTGAAATTTCGTTTTTTTTTTTAATAAAAACTTTGCCCGAAATTTGGGGACTTGAAATCGCGATGTTGAGCAAATTTTGACCTTACTGAGATAATGTTGAGGCAAAGTAAAGGGAAATTGGCTTATTTTGCGAGAAAATCGTATCCAAATCCCCCCTTCAAATTATATTTAAATGATTTCTGTGATTTTTACTAAAAAGTGCTTAAAATTTGGTAAATTTTCCTGTCTAATTTTTTCTCTACTGCAATTTGAACCGAAGTTATGATTCTTTGAAAATAGGTCAAATTTGAACTTTGACCTATCATAACTGAGTTACCATTTGAAGGAAAAAGAGTGTCCGCCCCCCGGAGGGAGGGACACAAATTTTGAACCCCCTAGCAGATGGTCCCCTTTGAAATAGAAACATTCCCAAAGTTTCGGTTTTCTATCTCCAACCGTTTAAAAGTTACCTTGTGCTGCATTGAGCAGTGGAGAGGTTGATCATTGAAAATAAAGACGATTATGGTGAATAATTCTCTTTTTTTTTTTTTTTTTTTTTTTGAGATGTGTCGCAATTGAGAACTTTCTCGGTAAGTGAGTATCTAAGGCTTGCAATGCTGCTGTAACTGCTTGCGTACATTAAAATTGCAGGATACAAAATTAATCCTTAGTGAAAGAACCCCGCACAGACCTTGTGGGCAATGGCACTCTCTAGAATCTGATGAAACTTGGATATGTTGCTCAGCTAGTCATTCTGATCAAAAGTTCTCATGGGCCGAAAGAGGTCCCACGAGCGGTTTTCGAGATATTCGTCGTCTTATGTGCGTAATTGAGGTTTCGCTGGCCGGAGTATTGTGCGGCGCCTCTTGTGTCCTTTCCTTCCAGTCCACTTCGGCCGCTCTCCGCTTCCCCGCCTCCCATACCCGAGGGACTCCGATGCTCACGAGGCTTTGCTCATCGCCGCCGAGCCGGGTGGTCTTATCACCGTGAGCGTCGAAGTCCGAGCCTCGGGTATGGGAGGCGGGGAAGCGGAGAGCGGCCGAAAAGACTGGAAGGGAAGGACACAAGAGGCGCCGCACAATACTCCGGCCAGCGAAACCTCAATTTTCGCACATAAAACGGCGAATATCTCGAAAACCGCTCGTGGGATCTCTCTCGGCCCATGAGAACTTTTGATCAGAATGACTAGCTGAGCAACATATCTAAGTTTCATCAGATTCTAGAGAGAGCCATTGCCCATAAGGTCTGTGCGGGGTTCTTTCTTTTACTGAAGGATGAGAAAGAATTCAAAGCAGATTCAAGTCAACATTTACAGTGGTGCTTTTAGGTGGTAAGTGAGCACCTAACTAGGTTGTGCAGTTTTAGCAGCATTGCAAGCTTCCTATACCGTTTTTCCTCCCAAGAAATCCTCAATTTTGAAACCATGATCCATTTTTCATAATTATTGGTGAAATTATTCGAACTGTCTTATTTTTATGTAAATAGGTATAATTTTAAATGTATTTATTTTTCCGAATCCAAGGTTGATTTGTTTTGATTCAGCCCTTGCTTGCAGCTAGTATGTAGGTTTTTTATGATTTTTATGCATATTTGCAGGTTTTCAATAAGTATTTTTGTCAAGTTAATGTGTTGCATGAATGATCAAATGGCTTTCAGACGAACTCCTCTTTCAAGCTCCCTTTTTCAGTTGGTTTGTTACGCACAGGAGATACAGCCATCTCAGTAGGCTTTTCATGGTTAAATCGCGCATAATCATGTCGCTCATATCAGGAATGTTCGAAGTAAAGGCTGTCTTAACATGCTGAAATCGCATGTGACAGGCTTCATAACAGTATGTGAGGCTGTTCACTGATTTTGATTAGATTTTCTCAAATTTCTCTCTGGACAAACCTGATTATTAGCAATTAAGAGAGAAGTGCCTGCAGGCGCAATGAGTCTGGAAACATGTAATGCAAATTATATAAATCGAGGAGCACAGCGTGTTTCAGACATTTTTAATGGGCTGAACGTGATTTTTCTGTAATTTTACCTCGGGTACTTCCGTTCATTCGACAGTGCTTTCTTTATTTAACATGCCAATTTCACATTTTACAACTTGATAAACTTTATCTTTCTCATTTCTATCATCATGTCTTGTATTGTTTTTTACCAGTCTCATTCCAAAAATAAACAACATTTAACCTGAATGTAATCAGTGAAGTGGATCAAATCATTATCATAATATCAAGTCAAAAATTTCTGTCTGCTATCAGTCAAGTCTTATATTGTGAATTCTCCTTTTACTTATTCATTTGTTGTTGTCATTCAGTACATAGTTCAAAGTAGATTTAGAGTTTCGCAATTTGATGATTTTTGCAAAGCCTGTCCCCAAAATACTGAGCATTTTTTCCCACAGGGTGAAAGAAAGCAGATATCAAACCGCGGTTTGCGCAGGGCTTTAGTAATTACCCCCAAACCAAGGTCACCATGAGCACTGTAACTTAAAATTTAACTGAAGTACAGCATTTTGAAAATGACGTGTCAGGTTGACTTCCTCAGGATTTTCAGCATTTTCTTTGAGAGAATAGATAGTTAAGAAATAAAATGGTTTCAATAAAAATAAGCTTATATATTCTTCCCTAATTTGGCTAAATGCCATTTCCCCAGAAAAGATCTTTCAAATGTTCTTTTACAAAGGAGTTAATAAAGGTTTAAACGGCTCTTTAGATTTCGTTAATCGTGTTGAAACGATTGCCTCTTGAACTCTTTTTCAAACTGGTCGAGCCGAAAATGGTCTCGTAGTCGTTGCAAGACTAAGTCAATTTTAGTAAGAATCTGTGAGCTCACTTTTCGTAAAACCATCTCATTTTTAAACTTTTGTTTCTCTCGCAAAGAAAGCTGAAAATCTTGGAGGGGAAATTTCAAAATGTTGTATCTCAGTCAAATTTTAAGTTACAGAGCTAATTTTAGACTTAATATATACTCAATTCATAGGACTATAGCCTAATACAAACCGGGTCGTGATATCTGCTTTCTTTTGCCTCGAGAAAAAAGAGGCAGTGATTTTGGGACAGCCTTCGTTGTTGAAAAATCAGTTGTTAGTCGATAACTCTCTTCCGATTGCCTTTTCTATCATTGTTTGGTGCTCATGAGACCATGTTATATTGAATACTCATGTATTGAAACTTAAAAATAAAAGCAATAAAAGACGTGTTTTTTTCCTATTTGAAAAAATGCCTCTCCCCCCCCCCCCCCCCCCCCCCNCCCCCCCCCCCCCCCCCCCCCGCCCCTGCCCCTCTTTACTGTGCGCCCCAAAACTTGCCATTTTTTCATCACTGGGTTGATTTAGTTCAAGTTTAATATTAGTGCAGTCCTGAGTTACATGTGGTACCTATCAGCAGAAATGAAGAAAAATCCGTTTTAAACGGATTATCATGTTGACAAAATTGAACCTCTCTACACTGCGTGCCCTTTCCCATCCCAAAATAAATGCCTTGAACTCTACTTTCTCTTCTCAATACTTTTCATTAATATAATTTTCTTATTCTAGTACTTTTTATTCCATAAAGTTTGACACATACTTTTGGAAAGAGGGAAATACAACCCAGCGAAAGTATTGATGTCATGCATTATAATGTCTGTGATGCGTCCTTTTTCCTCCGTGAATGTATGGCAGCATCGGCCACTTTACCTACTGTGAGCATTTGGTGAAAGCTGTAACCTTGGTTGGATTTTGGTCAGACAAGTAACTAAACTATCAGCATGAAAAGACTAACAAGTATTAGTCAGGGAGAAATACGGAAAAAAAGGGCTTAACCAGGAACAAATTGCATAACAATTTTTTCCTGTGTAAACGTCATCAGTAGGTCCTCCTGAATAACATACAAAAAGTTTACCACGGTCCGACCCCGGAACACCCCCAAAAATTACGAAAATTCAAAATGGCGGCCATAATAAGGGCCTATGGGATTTCGGTATTTTAAAATGTTCCTATAGTGTCATGTGAGGTATCATTTCCTATGTAATTTTGGTCGCAGATTTCATTTCTGAAGTCCAAAAAGCCCCTAGGTCAAAGGGGGTGACCCAAATCCAAGATGGCGGCCAAATTTGAAATCCAAGAGGGTCATTTTTCAACTTTTACGTGATTGGGCAAGTGAGGTGTCGTTTCCTGTGTAATTTTGGTCGTGCATTTCATTAATGATGTCCAAACAGCTCCCCTGTCAAAGGGGGTGCTCTAAACCCAAGATGGCGTCTAAATTTGAAAGGCAGGAGGGTGAATTTCTTCGATTTTTGCGCAAAAAATGAGAGTGAGGTGTATCAATTCTTATGAAATTTTGGTTGTAAGTTTCATGTCTCAAGTCAAAACAGTCCCCCTGCTTATAGGGAGTGCCCGAAATTCACGATGGTGGCTAAATTTGAAAGGCGGAAGGGTGCATTTTTGAAAAAAAATTCA